ATCACGAAATAAACGAACAACTCAGAAGGTACCTGAGTTATACCTGTCGATCAGTAGATTTAGTACAATTTGAACGGTTTCCAGAGGCCATGTCTTCGGGAGGGAAAATGATGTCCATGCCATGACTACCAGCATAGTAGAGTTCTTTTAGTCCTACTAACTCATAAACCTGAGGAAATTAAATTAATCAAAATCAGAACGACTCAAAATATTAAAAACCTGATATCATTGTAAATAGCTTGGTTAAGGGAAAAATTTCTGTATCCACCTTATCACGGCTTCTTCCACTGATGATGGCTGTAGGGAAATACTTTGCCACTCTCTTAACAGCAGAACGCATCTAGAAAATCACTTATTGTATTACATTAAGAGGCAGATCGAAAATTATGAAGGAAATATTCCCGTGCACGATAGCTACTTACATCAGCAGACATAAATGCACGGTCAGGATTATCTACAATGGGGGAAAGAGTTCCATCATAATCTAAAAACACCACTAACTTCCTATTTTTTGCACGGTTCATGATTTGTTGGAAGGAATTAAGCGCTGATGGGTATTTAATCTGCGCAAAGCAAAAGACAAACGGGAATTAACTATATCAATAAGATTGAAAAGAGAGAAATTATATTTCATCTTAGGATAATAAACATACTGTCCAAGCACGATAAATGATATCTCCATCATCAGAAGCAACCTCCTCATCGGTGAAATCCTTAAGAATCTTTTTTCTCGGAGGTGATGATGATCTCATTGCTTCAAGCCAAACATTGGACTGAACATCGTCAAATGTTCCAGGCTTCTTCCTCGAAACTGCCAGAATGTTATTTGAATATGTGGGGCTCGATTGTGAATAAGGCAAGTGACTAGAATGTATCCCGAGCCGGGACTTGTTTATAGGTTGAGAACCAGTAAGAATCGGAGAAGCTTTTGTTGATTTCACGTCCATCAGAGCGATAACTAGAAATGACTTGATGAAAATTTACTAGAGAAATGACTAGACACTAAAGTATTGAATGTCGTTCTACCCAACCCTCTTATCACTGCTGTAGAACGAGCAGTCCATCAAGAAGAAACTTCATAAAATCTGATGATAAAGCAAAAGGACGATATCATGCTCGTTTTATCAATGAAAACTTTCAGGAAAAAAGAAAAAGAAAAAACAACTTCAAATCTTTCAAATTACAATACCTCATCTCCAAAGCCGCAGTGCATTTACACCAAGAAACGAAGCATTTTTGTGTACAAACTCTTGAGTTATTGATGGCATGTAGCCTTACTACATTTTTCTCCTGAAATGTGAAAAAAAAAATGTAATGTACTTTCAAACTGATACAAAATGGAAAATCTATTCTAGGCATAAACGAAGTCAAAGCAATTAAGAATAGAATGTTCCCTATTGTGTTTTATTGTTTTGGTAGGACAGCGAATTTGTCTCCTCTATAGAAGGAATTCTTAAATTTCCTTATTCGTTGCAAATTTCCTTCTGCTGTAATTTAGAACCTATAAAATGAGGATCCTTGAGTGTAATGAATTAGACTTGAATATTGAATAAACATTATAATCTTTCCTCCCATTTCTTTCTTTCTTTCTACTCTCTTCTTCTTCATCATCGTTCTTGTTCATTGCAATAGGCATCACAAACATTCCTAAATATTAAGAACTTAAGAATAAAGACAAGATATGAACACTATTCATCATAACACCGTCTAGACCAACGCAGAATGCAACATCACACATACACACATGAACTCAAAGAAACAAGAGATTCTTTAACTGTAATATGCGGAAAAAGTAAACTTTCAAAATAAATAAAGCATTCAAATGCATTTAACAGAAAAAATAGTAAAAATTTACCAAATATTAGATCGTCTATCACAAGATCCAAATAACAGTAGATTGAAT